GAAAGAGAAAGATCCCACTGCCCCAGCTGGGATTACCCTTAATGTATAATTTAAATCAAGTCATTTTATTGACTGAAATATAACAACTCTAACTGCATGCTTTAATTTTACACCAGATAAAATTTACTGTACTGAGATATAATCAAAATATTTGAAAATAAAAAGTGTATTACTTCATTAACTTTTCAGTTAAAATATTAATGTACAAATTTGAAGTAAATACAGTTTTACCAAGGTTTGCTTCTATTAGAAGGACTCAATATTAAACCTACATACCAATCAGTATATGACTTAAATTTAATGATAATTACATTAATAATTCTTCTGCATATGACATTTGAGCAAGCAAGTAAAAGTTACATTACCAGAATCAAAAACATTTTTGAAAAATAGTAAACATTTTAAAATGAGATAGCATATGTTATAATATATTCTCTTCAAATGCAACCGAAGATTACTGGTTTTACACATAAATATATATACTCTAAATCAATCTACCTATGTTGGACTGTACCTTCTAGTTCTGTTTCATGATTTTGTCCTAAATGTTAGGTCAAGTGTATATTATACTGCATAATCCATTATTCATCTCAACCACTAAATAAAATACAAGCAGCACCTTTTATGAGACACTTAGTCATTACAGACTGGAAGTATAGTGCAGGTGCTTACGTCATCCAAAAACTTTTAAGTTAGGCCTACTATTTTGGACTAGTTGGCTAATAATGTAAATAGTAAGTGTGCACAATAGTTATGATTTTCACAAATGTTTTAAATTGTGATCAACTAATCTTATAGGCATTTGATTGATTATTAAATCTAGATGTATGAAGTCCATAAATAGTTAACCTTCATAATATGATAGTATGGGATTTAAATCCCCATATTACAGCGCTATGGACATTGGACTTAAACTCTTGAGTTAACATCTTAACACGTGGCCAGCCGGACTGTATGTGAGCTGCGGTGCAAGACAAAGATTAAAACCACAGTGCTAAATGGAAATTTAATTTTACAATTTTTGTATTAAATTAAACATTCTTCTATTTCATTTAAATTTTCCTTTTAAAAATGGAAGATAAGATGGGTTTTGGTATGGATATTGTTATATGTTTAACAGTCACCGCGGAAAATAAAAAGTTCAGTTTGCAGGAAATTGTAAACGTTCAGCTTAAAAATGACAAGAGCAGGCAGGATAGATTTCTGTTCACTGATAATGTAAGACACAAAGGAAACATGAAGAAGAAGGACTTGCTCCATAGTAATATGCCTTCTTGTCGATCATGGTCTTCTGGCTTGTGATGCTTTGTAGTCTTGCAGATGGTTATCAATGTTTTTCCAATATGTTGGTAACCAACCATTAGGTCACACACTGTCACAACCAAGTAGACCAATGATACCATTTTCATTGCTTTGAAAAACTCAAATTCACAACCAAGTAGACCAATGATACCATCTTCATTGCTTTGAAAAACTAAAACTTCCAACTATCTTCATAGAATGGGAAATGTTAGATATAATTTATTGTACAACTCAAACAAAAAACACCATCACTGTAAATAACATCCCTATATTTAACTTATTCATAAAATTTGCAATGGTGTTTTTGGTGTTCAATTGGGCCTTAAAGCCTCTAGTGCCATTCTATGCCATGATATCATTTAACTTAAAAAACTATTCTCTTTTATATGTTTACTATTTATATGTAGCCTTATTAAGAACTGTGATTTTGAACATCAATTACATATATCACAATAAACATTTAAAAAATGAGTAACTAGGCCACAAGTTGTTGTAATATTTACTCTTAAATATATCAACATGATGGGTGCCGGTACAGGCTGATGAGTCTAATCCGTGAAGAGGAGAAGAAGAAATATATCAACACAGGATATATTTATGTTCTTTCAATCTGCCTGAAATAATCTTGATTTACCAAAAGAATGCTGAATGACATTTAAATCTCGCACACGCAAATGTACACTGAGACCACACATTCAAAAACAAAAAAGAATATAAAAATAATTTCTTGTTTAAAAATTATACTGTAAATGTGTTATAGCACACAGGTAAGCAGGGTCCAAAAATTATTCTGATACAAACATTTGTTAGAATATAATAAAAATAAAAATGATAAGAAATTCAGAAATACAAAAATCATACATATTATACAGAAACATTAAAACCTGTGCCTACTTTACCCACTTTCAAACAATGGCATATGCAACAGCATACTAAATAAAAAGTTCTGAGAGTTAATACAAATGGTGCATGGAGCACCTGATCTTGGCTGACTGTACTTGAAGGCTGTGGATTCGCATTTTTTATGTTGTTCTATGACAATATAGGCCTTACTGATATCTCACCTAAGAAGTCCCAGTTCTGAATCAGAATGCAGCACCAAGAACTTCCTTCTTATTCTTCGGTAAGAATTTAAACTTCGTCACTTTTTCTTGCATTGAATTTGAATTCTCTTAGAAAAATTATATTCATCTAATCAATATGAAATGAAATAAGAGTTTTGCCCTTTATTGTATAGGCTAAGCAATAACCCTAATAAAGACAATCTCAATGAGCCACATGTGGCCCAGCTGGCTGTACATCACAGTAACATCATTAAAATGTTGAAGCTTGAGTTAATATTCAGCCAGCAGCTCTGTAGTGAGGGAATTTAAATTCCCTATTCCCAAACAATAAATGCTAATATACAATAATTAATTGACTGCTCTGACACTCTAATGAATAACTATATTACACAACAGATACATGAAACACATCCTGTTGCCTAAATCTTTGTCATTCAAACATAATACTGTCTTGTAGCCAGAAATGAAAATCCACACAAAACTTCTCACAGATATAACAATAACATTTCAGCTTTATTCTATAAATGATGTAGCCCTACCTGCATAATGTAACCCTTCAGTGGATGATCTACCAAATATTTTCTGTTTTGGAAAAGAAAACTCTATTTAAGGTGCTCTTGTGAGGATGAATGAAACTTGAAAGAAACTTATAGTGGAGAGTATCAATTTAGGTGTTACCTGAATGTAAATGTATCAAAATTATTCATATATAAATAGTTTTCTTGACTTTCTGATGTTTGATACTATAACTTCTCCTGTACCAACAAACAATTAAAATAATCTGAGACTAAAGGATACATAGGGAGTTCTGTTTTTGTTTTAATATATTCCCTGACAGCAAATCATGATTTATGCCAAATAACCAGCTCTAGAAAGGCAAGTGATGAAATCAATATTTAATCTTTGTCATCTGCTACCAAAGTTTAGAGCTTATGTAATGTTTCAAACTGTTAGTGTTCAATTTTTTTCATATGTAAACTAGTGCTAAACCAAATAAATTGTGAACAAACTATAAACATATGAAAACCTCAATTAATAATGCTATATTTATAACAACTAACCTCGCTTCTCACTACTGAACAAAATCTCTCTTGTTGTGTAGTGGCTAGATATCTTGTTTCTCACGCTTGGAGTTCACAATTATTTGTACAGATATGAAAGAAACAATATACAGTGGATTCCAGTTAATTGGGACACATCGGGACAAGAACACTTTGGCCTAATTGTGCGGCTGCCCCAATTATGTGAAGTTCCATGTAAAGAGTTAAAAAGGATTGTTCTTTAAGATTTGTCCCAAATAAACGGTTACCCCGATTAACCAATGGCCCAATTAACCGGAATCTATTGTATTTAATTTGTGTATAACTGAACATGGTCGAAACACAGCACACCAATTGCTGGCACAAGATAAGATAACCAAAAAGAATATTACTCTATATTTAAAAAGTTAACACCATGAAAAGACAATAAAAATAAACTTTTCTGCATCTCATAAATCATTTAAACTTTCACTAAATCATCACATTTTTATTTAAACTAAATTTCCTGCCTCAGCGACTGTTAATAATGGCCATTATAAATGTGGGATAATCCCAGAAGGTTCCCTTAAAATACACAGTGATAACACAATTATATTAAACTTATTGGTCCCATCAGTAATATAAACGTAAAGAGCAAACATAACAACTATAACAAAATATTAATACTCAGATTCTTGCACAGTGTTGCATGCTTCAAAAATTCATATAGGTCTATTACCAAAGTATAAAGTACAAAATATGGATGGCAACTTGTAATCATTATAAGAAAACAAAGTCTAATTAAAGATAAACTTTCATTACTTTAGGGAAATGAAGACAGTGGAATGAACATGATGTTCAGACAACAGTTACTTTGTTCACTGATCACCACCTTCCCCTTCCTCTGGTTTTGTATGTATGATCTCAGCATATTCAGTCTTATCATCCTCCCGACGAACAATGGGCCTCCGTGTTGATTGCAGATCCAGTTCTGCATAAACCACATCCTGTCCATGTGGTTTCCCTTTTGCTCCCATAGCAATATGTTCACTACTTTCCGTCCCAGGGTTTTCCATTTCCTGCCAACATAACAAATTCACGAGCACGTACACTACCAGCCAACTGACCTACATAATGCACCGACTAATGAACCACTCAGCTAAGTCCAGAACCTGAAGACTCAATACTAATAGCAGAATTTCATAAGTTAAATATTTTTATGGTATTTATGGTCTTTGAACTGTTTGTGATAAATTTGATGTTTCATTTTAATGTAAAGATAGCTTTGGCTTCTTTTTACAAATAATAGGCTCCTCTTTACTTGAGGACTATAGAGAATTGCACCCTCTATGCTAATACATATACTCATATCTCACTTCTTTTTGCATTACAATTCTACAGTTGCCTCATAAAAGTGACAACACATACGAAGAGGTACTAACAAAATCTTCAAAATTCACTACAAAGCAGAGGAATATAGAGAAATATGTAGTAGACCATTAAAAATGGCTCTGATGTCAGATCAGACTTGAGTCTAATCTTTAAAGGAAGATAAAGAGGAAAAGAAGGAAACAGGGGA